GAGGAAGAGAGATTATGGCAGACGTGGAGATGGAGGTAGAGGTAGAGGTAGAAACAGAAGAGAGAGTAAGTTATTTACTTTTTGGCCTACGGTTTGCCCAAATTTTACCCATATTTCATCAAGCTTAAGCTCACTCTCTTCTCCAACCTTATGGGAAACCCATGCTCTTTCAGAATTGGTTTACTGGTATGAAGCTGACATAGGCATAGAAAACCACTGTCATGACCTGGAATAAACATATCTGCAGAATTTTTATATGTTCTTGTTACGACAAGCAGTTATTTTGGTCTTTATTGGCCTTAAATTTTCTTTTGTAGATCGAAAGAGAGATGAACTAGACCCTATGGATCCTGCAGCTTATTCTGAAGCACCAAGGTAAGATTTATGCCAATGAAAAGGTGAAGCAATTTGTTTGCTGACTATATACTGTACAATTGTGAATATAATGCGCACCTTTTATTACCTTATATACAGTAGCCTCCATGTGAGATGTGTCTTATCCAATCCAAATTCTCCCTGTACCACAAAATTTGTATGGCCTCAAATGTCGATTGCAAAATGAGGAACTAACATGGAAGCATTGCAGTGAAAAGTAGTACTCAAAATATTAATTATTTATGATCATATTCATGTGTCTCATCTACTAACTATCTTTACATTTGATTACAGAGGTACATGGAGCAGTGGTTTAGATCAACGAGGCTCTGCTAAAACTGGTGTGGATGCTACAGCAGCTGGTCCATTATTTCAACAGAGACCGTATCCTAGTCCTGGAGCTGTTCTAAGAGCCAACAAACAAATGGATACTCCAGATAGTTAGTTGAGTGAAGGAAATTGACATAAAGCTAAGGGCAAATGGTGTTGCCTCATGAAGAACTAGGAGCTATTTTCTTTTGGGATTTGTCTAATTGTGAGGGTGGTTACAAAAGTTTTGTTCTTTCAAGGGGGAGATTTGAAAGGTTTAACATCTAACATTAGAATTGTCATTCATCATTCATCTATTCATTGTAAATATTATTAATAAAATGATTTCGTA